ACGAATCCGAATTGGAGAATTCATTCTGAACATTCCCTCGAAGACGTGACGCGAAACAATTGGCCGCTGGACACCCTTTGCCTCCCCGAACTCCAATCTCTTAGAGAACTATCACTCAACAGCTATCTCCAACTCGTATATCGTCTCTCCAGCCCGTATCTCTCTCACCCCAAGTCGATTCTGTTCAGCGCCGCTTCAATCCCTGTGTTGCAGTGTGCGCTATCCTAAATAGGCCTATCCTGGACCCGGAGGTCGCAGAGTCGCGGTGAAGGTCGGAGACGAAAGTCGTGGAAAGTCGCGAAAGGTCGCGGAACGTCGCAGAGCATTGCAAGCATATAAACATAAAAGTTGCTTCAAAACATGCTTTTCAAAGATTGACAAAGTCGCGGTGAAGGTCGCGAAGTTCGCGGAACAAAGTCGCGGAGCAGTCGCGTAAAGTCGCGCAGAATCGCGGAAAGTCGCGCAACGTCGCGGGCAACTCTGGCAACCTCCGGGCTCAGGATAGGCCTCTAAATGCTAACCTAATTTCGTCTAATTTAGGGCAGTCCTGTCGAGCGCTAACCTGCACATCTCCTTCGCCTCTAACTTTGTAAAGCTAGGCTGGTGTACGAGTAGCACCTCTTTCCCATCGAACTTTGCCATCATATGCAGCCCTCTGTACATCACTGCGTACAAGTGCTCGCAATGCTTCCACCTTTCGCGCCCATTCTTCATCCTTTTGAACCAGGTGCAGCTGCACTCTGGTTCTTGTCCTAGGGTTAGCTCGTATGTGCTATCTCGTACTGCTATAGTGACAAAGTTCTCTATCTCGCTTATGCGTTCGTCACTCTGTACTTCTATCCTCAGCGAATGCGACTTTGCGAGAATATCGTCATACGCATGGTTGGGGGATCGTACGCACGTTACAGATCTGCCATTCCTTATTTTTGGCATCACAAGTTTGTACAGACAAGTAGAGCAGCCAACCATTATGACGTTCTCGTGTCCCCGGTTTGCGCAAGTGGATTCTAAAGGAATCGAAACGTAGTGAGAGTCAATGGATCAGTGAATCAAGCTATCGCTAACATAGACTGAGTAGTAGTGTAGTAGGTTTCAAAATCATGTGCAAAAACTATCAACGGTGTTAGCGAGGCTCAAGATGCAGCGTGGAGGAGGACGAATTTATTTGTTTGGCCAGATGACCCGAATGCAGTAAACCCGGGGCAGTAAACATCGTGGCCCCCTGGTGTCCGAATGCTTGTCCCGTTGAACGGGATGAGGTGTTAGTATGTGAGTATGGTTGGTTAGTATTTCAGATGGGGGAAGCGTGATGACGTCAGCGACTGCTGGCGTGACGTCATTTTCTGTCAAATAAATAATAAAACAATTATTTTTTAAAAAACGAATTTTTTTAAAAAAAAAATTTAAAAAAATATATATATATTTATTTTCGGGCGATTTGAACAGAAAAAAAAGGAAAAAATTAAAGACAAACAGATAGATAATACGTTCTTTAGGTAGACTCTCGTCAGCGTTCTGGTATGGAAGGACGCCAATAAAACATGTATGACTATGCTGTCCCGGCTCTTCACGGGAAAATAAAGACCACCAAGACGGACCAAGTCGGAACAGGGATTGTATAAGAGGTCTCTGACGTCACTAACCATAGGGTCCGGAAC